CGATTTTCAACCTCACACTGGAAACAGGGCCCAAGCACAGGTCTGGGATTAGTGTAGTCAATTCCACGGCAGATGGTGAAGACACTGATGTGAGTGATGATGCCACCAAAGCCTCCCTGCCCTCCCAGGTGCTCCAGAGACACTTCTCAGCCTATAAAACAAAGGGCTGAGGAAAACATGATGAGCCCCAGTCCACCTGCGTCATGCTCTAGTAAATTATCAGTGTGATGTGTCACAGTTATTTTCCTCCCCAGTGGCTTTGGGAGAACCCACTCCGAAGGTGCCTAGACCTTCTCCATCTCGATCTGCTGGTGGTAGTGCCGAGCCTGCCGCTGGCCAACATTCAGCTTGTACACGGAGCTCTTGTGCTGGTACCTGCGGTAGCCCCACACCATCCCCACACCTGCCAGGAGCAGCAGTAGGCACAGGACGGTGACAATGGTGGCGATCACAGGGCCTCTACTGAGGCCAGGACATCCACCCCCCACACAGGACTCCAAGGTGGGATGAAGCTCCTCGCTTGTACCCGGCCCGGGGCCTTCCTGTCCAAAGACGTCTTCAGACAGCAGGTATGGGAAGCTGTCCTGGATCTCAGGAGCAGTGGTTTCTCCTGGAGGCTGGGTGGTTGCCATGATCGTTGAGGGGATGTGGTTAGGTGTCTGCTTGACAGTGGTCGCTGTTAATATCTCCAGGGTGGAGCTGGTAAGCTCATAGGGCAGGGTGGCCATCGGAGACATTCTTCCATATTCCTCTCCCAATAATTCAATATCCATGTCCTAAATAATACTGCTCTCATACACTTGGTTTATCATGACTATTTATAAAATTTCAGGGCATGAAGCTGGAGATCTTCTTTCTTCAAAAAGGTAATACTGTCATGTGGCCCACACCTGGAATCCTAGCACTTTGGGAGGCAAAGGAGGGCGGATCACTTGAGGTCAGGAATTCTTGACCAGTCTGGTCAACATGGTGAAACTCCATTTCTACTAAAAATACAAAAAAAAATTAGCCGGGCATGGTGGTGCATGCCTGTAATCCCAGCTACTTGGGAGGCTGAGGCAGGAGAATTGCTTGAACTTGGGAGGCAGAGGTTGCAGGGAGCTCAGATTGTGCCACTGCACTCCAGTCTGGGCAACAGCATGAGACTCCATCT